AAACGCAGGACCAGAGTGAAGAAATAAGCACTTTCATAACCTGCAGAAGGGAGTAACAACTGGGTCTACCACTGCAGAGACACATCTGGAAATATTTAGCCATGTTGAAATGGCACATTCCTTCCAGCCCAACAATTTTACTCCTAAGTACTAACCCTACATATAAACTCTGATACACATGCACAAGAGAAGACACTCAGATGTCTGTGCAATATAACAGTGAAATGGTAAAACACTGAAAACCACGTTCAATCTTTTCTTTCAATGGGGATAAGATGCAGCATAATCATATAAAAGAATACCAAAGAGCATTTAAAAGAAATGAACCAGTTACATGTGTAAATTTCAAAACACTATTAATTGAAAAAGCAGGCTAGGAAAGGATACATGTAGCACCAACACCATGTTATACACAGCCTGTGTATGTACACCCACCTGTACATGCCCACATGTGTGTGTGAGAGCACATACACACAGCACAGCAAAAATATGAGAAAGACAGCAAATGTAATGTGATGCTTATCTTTGAAAGAGGAGTAAGAGTAGAGATGGTGGCTTTATGTTTTGTTTTGATTTGTGATAATGGGGATTTAACCCAGCACCTCGGACGTGCTAGGCAAGTGCTCTACTACCAAGCCACATGCTGGCCCCGAGGTTTTGGTATTTTATATAAGTACCGCACAATAACTAATTGTGCCACTGGAGAGCATCAGAGGGTTTGGCATTTTAAAACTTTTTCCTTTTTAAACAGGGGACCTTAAAGCAAATACTGTACAGTAAAATGTTAAAATCTACTAAAGCTGGGTAGAGTCTCTAAGTGTTATCCTTTATACTTTTCAGTGCTTGAAATATTTCAAAAATAAAAAGAGCCAAGGGCCAGGGATTTAGCTCAGCGGCATTGTGCTTGCCTTGCAAACACAAGGTCCTGAGTTTGATCCCCGGACCACTCCCTGCCAAAAAAGGTAGAAAAATAAAAATAGCCAAACACAAAAATGTCAAGGAAAAGATAATACTTACTGTATTATGCCAATTTTCTATGATATATGTACAGTTACAATCTAAAAATAATACTAGTGCTAGTAGTTTTTCCACTGTTTCAGAATAGTCAAGACCACAAATTTTTTTTAAGCTGATCTCAGAGGATCACTGATTTGAATTCTTCTAGTTGGGGCAAAATCCATAACACACTCCTGACAGATACCGTAGATCCCCAATTCATGGTGCTCTCTCTGCTAGCGGATCCAACTTTGCTGAGGTGGTACAAGGCTGTAAGCTTCCAAGATAGGAAGGGAGAATCTTGATTACTTTTAGCCAATTACAGTGTTTTCATTATCCATGTCAATGATTCAGAAAAGGGCATTTAATATCTCTTAATAAGACAAATACATAAAGCCCCCTAAGGGCTTCACCAAGAAGGGATAGCTTAAGAGAAAATCTTTTTTGGCTGGGCATGGTGGTGCACACCTGTAATCCCAGCACTCAGGAGGCTGAGTCAGGAGGATTGCTGTGAGTTCAAGACCAGCCTGGACTACATAGTGAGTTCCAAGTCAGTCTCAACTACATAGTGAGACCCTGTCTCAAAAAACAAAAACAAACAAACAAAAAATCCAGAAAACTCTTTTTTGGATGCTGCAATGGCAGCCTGGAGATCTTGCCACTATATAGCTATACCATAAAGGCTCAACTCTGAGGACAAAATTCAGTGCAACATAAATGGGCAAAAAATATGAGAAAAATTTGGGTCAGTGGTCACGTTGCTGAGCACTGAATTTATTGGGCTGGTCTCAAATTCCTATGCTCAAGTGAGCCTCCTGACTCTGCATCCCGAGTAGCTGGGATTATTAGCAGGCACCACCAAGCCTGGTGCTCTACCCAGACTTCTTGTGACATTCTTCTTGCTGTTCAAGACACATTTGAGTTTCCTGCTTATTGCATATAATACAATGCTCTTTATTGAAACAAAAACAAAATAACTTTCATGAATGTACAAATTCCAGTGAGTTCTTGACAACTGTAAAGACTTTGTTATTCTCATACAGACTGGAGGCAGGAATTTTGCAAACTGTACAAATAGTTGTAGCTTTTCCAGAACCACCCTAGTTTCACACTTTCTAAATCACTGAACAGAATGTGCCTATTTTGTTTTCAGCATTTTTAGCCACATCCAGAAATGTGATATAGTGTCCAAATGTGCTTCTATGAGAGTATTTAAGGACATTTAGCCAGTAACATTCTTGTATAACTCTTCATATGGAGCCCCTCAGAATGTTTCAGTGCGTGTTCTAACTTTCCAAAGAAACATTGCATGCGCAGAAAATGCTTTCTTTTTTTCCTAGCCTCCACCTTTCACAAAGGTGAGACCCACACTCAAGTATCCCCATAGTTACACAACAAGGTTGGGAGGCCAACTCCTGCAACGTGAGGCTGTTTTTATCAAGCCACCGTGCTTCTGTAGTAAATAAATACAAAGGCATAAACATTTCAATTCAATGAATTTATTTAAAAAGAAGACTATAAAATTCGACATTAGGAGAGATAAAAAAGGCCCCCAAGACTTAAATTGCAAGATACAAAAATGATTGGCTATAAACAATGCAAAAATACCTTTCTCAATTCCCAAATAATTTAAGTATAGGAATTATAAAATGTTTGTAATGTAAGTACATGTCTCTCATAATTAACCATTCTAAATAATTTGTATAAAATACTACAAATTACATTTACCATAACTGCTAATAGAAAATTATTTTGAGTTTAATGAGGTTATCTTTTTCTGTATATAACAAGAGTTTCTGGTCCCAAGTTCTCCCTGAATTATTTACTTAAATGGTCTTTTTAGTCCTACTTCCTTCCATAATAAAAGAGAGGTTAATCAGACACCGGAACCCTAAGAAACAAGGTGAAAGTTATAAAAATTATCAAAATACAAATGAAGAATTTATCTTTCTAAAAAGGAAAACAATTAAGTGGTTAAGGAAGAGGCCCACTTCTTCACCATGAGACAAGTGGAGGTGAAGACTCAGAATAAGGGAGTTTAAGCTCAAGTCCAACATGCACCATGTGTGAAGCCAGCCAAGTCTAGTTCTGTCAACGCTTACTAGGCCCAACACGGGCAGTGCTACAGTTTCCATCTGGAATGTCCCCAAGGCCCATGGGCTGAAGGCTTGCTCCCCAGAGCAGCATGATGAAGAGGCGGCAGAAATGTCAAAAGCTGGGGATTACAGGGAGGTCTACAGTCAGCAGGAGCACGTCCTTGAAGAGGACTGTGAGACCTCAATCTCTTCCAGCCCTTTTTCCACTTTGTTTCCCAGCCACCATGAGGTAGGCAGCTTTGCTCCCCCACACATGCCCCACCACAATACACTGCTTTACCACAGACCCAAAAGCAGTAGGGCCAACCAACTATGGACTGAACCCTCCAAAACTGTGAGCCAACATATATCTTTTCTCTTTTTAAATTGATTATCTCAGGTATTTTGTGGCAACCCTGAAGGAGCCCAGATGATTTTCTGTGAATTCTAATGGGTCTACATCACATTTAAAACAACAGTGCAGTCTGATGTGAAATTCTACAATTAGCTTCCACAAATCAGTTAGCTTCAAATCAGTCTTTATTCTTAGAACAGAGACTCAGCTATTTATCCCATCTCAGATGATACACCCAGTAAAAACAGCATTCATGATTGGTTTCATTATCTCCCAAGTAGGCAGTGGTGACATCACCATTACTACTAGCATTCAATCTGATAAAATAGATAAGCTACTGAATGAGTCAGTAACACAGCAGATGTCTGCCCACACTTATGAATTTCTGAGACCTACATTAGCCACCTTCATGCAACTTAAACCCATCTGTAACATAAAAATGGCAGATGAGAAACTACTAAAAAGAATGAGGTTTTTAAAATATATCCCTGGAAGAATCAATATCTGGGCTTATCATCTTAATACAGGAGCTCTTGGTCAAAACTCTAGGAGGGCAAGAAAGATCTAGTTCATATGACTTGGGCAGAAGGGTCCTATCCCAAGGGCCCTGTCTGTGTGGCTGACAGCCTGCCAGCGACAAACAATTCTTCCAGATTAACAGAACTGCTTACAAAGTGTCTTAAGAACTGTGTGACTACTCCAGTATTAAACTTGGCAGGATTCTTGGTTATTCACTTTCTTAAGATGTCTCCTCCAGAGAGAAATTAGAGCAACACCCATATAGGAACAAGAACCCTCCAGCTCCTGCTCTACACCTGTCACAACTAAAGACTCTGAACCCCGTTTAGACAATAGACAATGAAAAAAAGTAAAAACCACAGGCCCATCTTCACCAGATGGTGATACAGCATATGGACCGTTCTGATAAAAAGACAGAAAACGGATGAAAAATCAAAGCCTGGAGTTATAAAAAGATTTGCTCCAAGAGAACACATAGAAGAGAAGCCATAGAGCTGTGTTAAGTAGAAATGGGACAGACCATCTCTAACTCACAGCATGAATTCACTCTTCACACACATGCTAAGTGGCTGAAGTCTGTTTTTATAATTATTTTCACTGTACTGAGCAAAAAGTCCATTCTTCTCATCTTTGGTCCTTGGATGTGATATCAGTTTCTTCCATTTTTCTATGTGTTACATAACAATCTCTCTTTAAAAACTTGATCTCAACAACCGAAGTGCAATATAAACATGAGGTTGCTGATGTTGTTGCCTTTATGCACAAAAAATACCAACATTTCCCATACATTTTATATTATGCTACACAAAGTATTAATAATAATTATCTTAAAATGTTACCATATAATTTTAAGGCTGAGTGAGATGCAGTCAAACCAAATATTATATATTAAGGAAAAAACTGGATCAAAATTTTAAATATCGATTTCTTAAATATGCATTAAATCTCCATTAACAGAACATAATATAATTACTAACAAGCTAATACTGATGCAAATTAATTTTAAAATGAAACAATTTCTGGGCCAAGGATTTATCTCAGTGGCACCGTGCCTGTCTCACAAACTCAAGGTCCTGCATTTGATCCCTGGTACCGAGAAAAAAAAAAAACAATTTCTAAAAGGATGGATATAATCAATCAAGCTGTTTATACAGCTATAAAGCATGATTTAGAAGCTATGCCTAAAAGAGAATGCCCTGTAACAGAATGACAGAATTATTTATAATCATTTGAGCTATGTGATTTAAAGAAAATAATTATCTTCCTCTCCACCTTAAAAGCCTGCATTTGAAACAAGTTTCGATAATTATTTTAAAAAACAATTTAAAAAATACCCTCTGGCTTAATTTGTAGTGACTGACACACAGCTCAACATTGATAAAACGCTTCCTGCTCTGCCCCTAGCCACCCGAAAGAAGTGGTTTACACAATTGCACACATTCTACAAGACCTCCTGACAGAGCTCAGGCATCACGAAGAACAGTCGCTCTCTTCTGTGACACCTGCTCCCAGAGTCTGTCTATGCATTCAGTGGTTCAGTGAGGGCTTCTGCTGGACGGGCCTCGGGTTTTCTCAACTGGGACTCCTGTCGCTTTTCGAAGAGCATAGCTGCAAAGTCAAGGAGGAACATAAAACTTGCTATAAAGCCAAACACCTGAGGAGGAAAAAGGGGGAAAGGTTATATGTGGAATTGGGGAATACAATCTCATCTCCTACCTGGCTCTGAGAGTATTTCACACGAGCAGGATCCTTCATTAGTCTTTATCTTACACCTACTATTCTCTAACGATAAAAATGTTTTGTTTAAACCATCCAAAAATGGACAGAAGTTACAAAGAGAAACATCTAAAACAACAGCTATTATCCCACAAAATACAAATTGTCCTGTCTTATGTATGCATGTGTATGTGTGAGGCATCAATCTAAGAAACTAAGGTAGTAGCTGAAAAGAAAAAATCCTATGAAATGATACAAAACAAGAGGATTATAACTGTGGTTAGACTGACTCACAGACATGACAAGGGAATATGGAAGTAGGCAACTTGGCCTTAGTAAAAATGGATAAAGTTACTAATATCTTCCATTTTGAAGATACTATGAGGTTAAATTTCCATAATTTTCCACTTTATTGACACAATGACATGACACCACTACCCACTTCCCCTTCCTTAAATCACTTCCTCATTGTACTCTTCTAACACTGACAGAGCATTCTGAGAATTCTGTCGAGACAGAAGTCCATGCTGCAAATTTGACTTCCTTACTAGCAAAACTCTTATGGAAATGAGGGCCAAAAAAGTACTTGGTAAAAAAGAAAATTTGCACTAGCTGATGGCTACAGTATCTTCCACCTCTCCAACAGCTCCATGATTTTAATACTTGTTATAATCTGTTGCAGTCTCCTGACCTTCCTCTCCCTAGCCCCTCCACCCTACAGAATATGCATTATGTCTCATCTCACCATACATCAAACTGCACTCCATACTCATTAATTCACCTGGGTGTCTCCAACACATCCAACCTGAATTCATTTATCAACTTGGCCTCCAAACCCAGGTCTTTTTCTCCTGCACAGTCTTTTATTTTGGCTCGATGGCATTTAGCCCCTTACTTACATGGCAACCATTTTGAATACTTCAGATACAGACGACATGTCACCTTGTCTGTTGAGGTCCCTCTAACATCTGAAAGAGCTCCAGTCCATAAAGGACCCTCTACACTACACCATCTAAACAAGTGTTCTGCCAGCTCTTTTGCTCACATGGTTTCTTTCCTTAATAGACCCATTAATCTATATTTCTAAAATTATTCATAATTTAGTTGCAATGGGTAATTTCCAGCTTATAAATATTGACTTTTTTACCCTATTAAATACTATAACAATCTAATACATCATCTAAATACAATATATAACTAATGGCTGTGAATTTTATGACATGCTTTTACCCTCATGGAACTCTATTTTTTCTCCATTTCACATTCCCCACAACACCCCCCCACCCCCCCACGATTGAACTCAGGACCTTGCACTTGTGAGGCAGGCCCGCCACCCCTGAGCTAAATCCCTGGCCCCCCTCCCCACAGAATTTTCTATTTTTATGCTTGTGTTTCATTGATCTCCTATCAAACTCCTCTACAATAAAAAACATGTACACGTTTAAAGTGGAAAGTAACTATAACATTAAACTATTAAAACTTTAATTTTCAGTTCACCTGGCTGGTGTGTCCATGGATGAATATTACTAGGATAAGTCAAGGTTCAGTGTTAATTTTACGCCTGCTTATTTTATACATATAAAAAGGTAAGAAACTGCGAGTACGTGAATAAGCGATATGGCCATGCAATCCCAAGCCCCTTTTGCATTGTTCTATCATAAAAAGTAGTTTTAATGATTTATTAGCTGACAACTCTACTAAATACAGCTTCACTTGGTGAAAATCAAAGTCCTACCTGGAAACCAGCTGCCTGGCAAGAGTATGGTTTCTATTGTTATTTGTGTTTACAACACTAGAACTGCCTAGGTCCATGATCCTTGATTTGCAATTCTGAAATCCAAAAAGCTAAAAAAAACTCAAAGTTTTCATGATTCACTTGACTTAAAACCAGCAAGACTATTTGCAGCCTTTATTTCTCCCTTTCACTGTAAATATTCAAATACTAATGCTGAATTACACAGGGCACGGACCTTGGCCCTCTGAATGTGTTGTATAATATAGTATATGCATGGTACCACCTTCTATAATTCTGAACTCTTAAAAATAATCTGACAACAGGATTTCAGATAAAAACTGGATCTTTTATTTTCAACTGTCCCTTTATTGTACTCAGAAGGCTTTTATGTTTTGTTTTACAACTCAGAGCAATGCACCACAGTAAGATTTAGGATAGGTGAGTGCATTCTTTTTTTTCCCCCTCTTTTTCTGGTGGGTGGAGGTGGGGTGACTGTAAAAAGGAAGGCAGGAAAGAAGTGGCTAGACTCTTCCACTAGAGATGAATTCTCAAACAAATTAGTCTTAAGATTACACATAGGGGTTAAAAACCTGGAAATGGATTTCCACAAAAACCACTCCCGCTTAGTACTCCTTAGAAAGTCTTCATGATATTTTATGGAGATACATAGCCCACTGACAACTGCTATCTAGACAAACATTTAATGGTTCATTTAACAGACTCCATTACAATTTGTGTCCCTCTCTATTTCCTTTATTAGGTTGAACCTTTGAGTCATTTCTCCTGTATATTCTATAAACCTAGAATAGCACATGGCATGTAGCTGTGGTGAACAGAAAAGCAGAGAAATACAGATGATAAAGTCAATTTTATGATTTCCATTAGCAGTATCATATTCCTATGTAGAGTAAATGGATTTCTGGTAACAAGACTGTCACATTCTGGGCAGGTTCTAGGTTTTTAAGGCTATGACTTTTTTATTTCTTTTTTAGGCCTTCTATTCAAAATTACATTACAAATAAAAGACAAACTATTTTCACATATTGTATACTTTTCAAGTACTTTCCAAATTCTGTATTTCTAAGGAAACAAACAAACAAAAAAGCAACATTATATACAAAGTACTTACAATTGCAGTAATTTCAGCAGGGGTTCTGTCATGGGTGGAGACAAAAATGATAGATGCCAACAAAAATATACATCCTGTTCCCAGCATAATGTAAAAATCCTATGCATACATATAAAACATGTAAAAAATACAATATGGTTAAATTTACAGAAATAAAGCTTTTAATTTTAAAAAACTTCAATGACTTACTTTTCTGACACAATCCAAACTTACCTACCACACTTCTAACTTTTTAATAAGCTTGGCATTCAAACACCATCCACACTTTTAGCTTGGAGAGTTGAAAGAATACAAGAGGTTTCTAATAAAAGCCTCTCAAAAGGCCATGTGTATATTTTTCCTTTTCCTCTAGGACATATTGAAATTATCAAAGACATAGAATTCATTAAAATTCCATCTCATTTCCAGCAAAAAATAAATTTCTTTCCTTTCAAAATGTTCCATGCACTAAAAGACAGACTTTTAGAGACAAGGAAATGGCTCAGAGGAGGAGGGAAGAAAGGAAAAGAGAGTAACAGGGATAAAAATAATCAAAATATGTTGTTTGCATTTATTAATGTACCAAACAACTCTCATTCTGAATTCCTAATATGCACCAAAACAAGCCCCTGCAAATTCAAAATTTAAAAAGCAAACTGTACTAGGATGGTATCTCTGAATGCATCAGTGTTTTTAAGAGAGAATCAAAAGAAGCATCCATCACTAACTAAATAGAAGTATGCCAGTGGAGTGTTTTCAGACACCTGAGCTTCCTGGAGTAGTGACTGCTCTCGACAATTCCAAGCAGGTAATCAAGCGAGCCTGGAAGATGAGCTCCTCACCCACTACCAAAAAGCTTCCACACCACCCACAAAGCAGCCTGGAAGCAGGAGGTGCTCCATGGCTTCCAAGTGTCCTCTTGGCACTGCCTCTGGCTCTTCCTGCTAATGGAAAATGGGGCTTGACACACAGACTTGATTAAGAGGGAAAACTGGTAAAGTGACAGCGCTTCAAAGGCCTTTATGCCTGATGCTTTTTCAATCTACTGAACTGCAACTTCTACTGAACCTAATATTAATAAAACTATCAAAACAGAATTCCCATGATGTCAACCATTCACTTAACATTTATAAAAAATGTAAGGTGTTCCCTTTGTTCTAAAAGAGGTATTATTTCAAATCTGTTATAAATATACATAAAGTTCCATTTCCTAATATCTGGAGTGTACACAAAGAGATATTTAAAGATAATCATTTTGAGATAGAATAACACCGTACTCAATAAACTTAGCTCCCTAAATTTGTAACTCCTGAGTCCAAACCTCAGCTATGCTACTTCCTAACTATGAGACTTTGAACTAGTTATTTAACATCTCTGTGCCTCCACTGCATTATCTTCAAAATAAAATAATAAGAGTATCTTCTTCATAAAATGATTCCATGGACTAGAGTTAATCCACAAAAGGTACTTGGGTCAGTGCCAGGCACATAGTATGTTGGCTACTACTAGATCTTAATAGAATCTGACCTACAATGGCACTGGACAGAAACTATTGTTTCTTCAAAAAGAATGTTCCTCCCTAGTCATTTTCAAACTATGCAAAGAAATCCTTACGTTAGGTGAAAAATCCTTGCACAAGCTACACAAGTGCTCTATCACTTAGCTATATCCCCAGTCTCCTTTCGACTTTGAGACAGGATTTTACAAATTTGCCCTGCTGTCCTTGAATTTGTGACCCTGTCGTCTCCCAAGTAACCAAGATTATAGGCATGCATCTTTTAAATGTCTTTAACTTAAAATAATTTTTAAAAGGTAATACATCTCCATAGCATAAAATGCAAATGGTACAAGAGTACACAGAAAAAAAGTACCCAGCATTGCCAAGAAAAAAGTAAGTAAATTATTTTGGTGTATAATCAATATATGACCCCAAGCTTGTTTCTTGTTAATTCAAAATAATAGAATCTGCTTTCTTTTTATACTGTTATCTCGTTTTGTTTTTTAGACAATATCTCATTATGTAGTTTAGGCTGGTCTTGAACTCACTATGTAGCTCAGGCTGGTTTCAAACTCATACTGATCATCCTGCCTCAGTCTACCAGAGTACTCAGATCGAAGGTGTGCACCCCATGCCTAGCTCTTGTTCTTAATAGTCAAATATCTACTTTAATTTTTATTCTTACCCTCTGAGATATGAATTCTTTCATATGTTAACACTCATATGCACTATTCTTTACAAATTACTATTGACAACTAAAACACTATTGAAGAAGTAAACTGCTGAATACTTACTTAAATTATTTTATCTGTCATCCAATAAATCCAAACTATACTCAAACAAAAACTCAGGGTGAGGAGATTGCCTTTAGAAAGTTAAACTCTGATTTTGTGAAAATAAGACTTCCCCAATATAATTTTATTGCAAGGCAAATTTCTGAAGAATGAATCAAAGAATACCTTAATTCATTTATAGAAAACTTGACTAATAATAAAATGAAAGCAATGTGTGTGTGTGTGTGTGTGTGTGTATATATATATATATATATATATATAGAGAGAGAGAGAGAGAGAGAGAGAGAGAGAGAGTTAACATTTTGTTAAGAGCCCCAGAAATATGTTAGTTCATTACTCTATCTCCTATGCTTAGCATAACATCTGGCATACAAGAGTCCATAATTCATAACTGTAGACCCAACGAGTGATCCTCTGAAATGTGAGAAACAAAAAGTAACAAAATCAAGTCAAGGGCAATGGTGCAGGCCTATAATCCTAGAACTGAGAGAGGCTGAGGCAGGAGGACTGAGTTCCAATCCCGCCTGGGCAATTTAGTGAAGCCCTGTTTTGAAATTAAAAAAAAAAAAAAATAGTGGGAGGATGTAGCTCAGTGCAAAGGCCCTTTCCACAAAAAGAAAGAAATTGACAAAATCCTAGTCTTTTTAAGTCCAATGTGATTTAATTAAGCCACCAATAATTATAGAACACTGGCAGTGTCTGTCACTGTCACTTCCCTCTCTATCATCCCCTCAGAAGGCAGAACTGGGTTGCTTAGTTGTGGTGTTGGAATAATTGATAGTATCTTTTCATGGTCCTGAGTTTTGAAAGCACTACTAGTTTGACCATTAAAACCACACAAAATTACACAACAGCTAGGCTCTTAATAAAAGAGATTATATCTTTTTCATGCTTACCGATGATTTTACTTTTATGGCATCAACTCTGTCGTACACTGAAGTACAATATACAATCAGGAAAAGGAGACTCAGAAGAAAGGCACTGCAGCTTACAAATTCAAAAAAGTACAGTCCTCCACACAAAGTACATTGTGATACAACTTCTTCACAGATAAACGCCAGCAGAGACAGCAACTATAAAAGAAGAAAAACATTTAAGCATTTTTCAGAGAACCTACAGTACTCAAAGGAAAAAAAAAGCCACAAGGTCACTCAAATATTTATAAAGCAGAGACTATGGCAAACAAGATTAGTGAATGAACTTCATCTATACAGCTGAATGCTAAAACATGGAAATCAGGGTGTTATTATGAAAACACAGGAAGAGCTTCCAGAAGCACAGTTGGGACACGAAGGACAGCAGGGTCAGTTCTGTGGTGGAAAGACATGGAGAGAAGCAGCAGAGAAACAGTTTACAAAAAGGCCCAGGGAGGAGAAAACATCACCCTCTCCCAAACACACACACTCCCACTACTCCCAAATGAACCACGAAAGCCAGTCAAGTTAATGCGACTATAGTGTAGTTTGAAGAAATAAAAAGGGCAGCACAAAAACTATTACATGAAATTAGAGGTGAGCAAAGGTAGATCTAACAGTCTTCATGAACTACTTTATGGTAATACAGTGTCACGGTGAGGTTTATGCCTGATACTGAAAAGGGACTGGAATAGGTGAAGATTTTAGGGCTGACATCCAGATAAGAAGCTGCAGTAGGAAGTCACAAAGATGATGACCAGAGGTGGTAGTAATGGTGAAGACTGGCTAATAACTGAGAGAGAAGTCTTTATCAGACAGGATGATGGGAATAAAATGGGATACAAGATAAGACATGTACCTTAAACATATGGATTTCAGTTACAAAAGCACAATCTTCTGAAGTGAGTCTTTGAATATAGGTCTGCTGTTGGAATTCCATAGCATGTTCTCTGCATTCATCACTTTCATTACTTATGAGCTATCATTTCTGGATTGTTGTGATATTGACAAGATCTGGGCACTTGAGAAATAGTACAGAATCTCTCTAGAATTCAACTGATTTCACTCTTTTACAGTTGCTTTAAATAATTCCACAGCTGACCAATAGTAATTTAACTTTCAGTCTTTCCAAAGTATTCAATTTGGCTTTCATAGAACACTTTCTTTTCATACTGTTTGGTTTGTGCAATTATTAAATGTTTGACCAGAAAAAGCATTAACATAACCTGGTGGAAACAACATACCTCAGTTGAGGCCAGAAGACCACAAAAGTGATTAGGAGGCACCTACTGGCCATGACAGGTTTGGGCAATGGTCAGGATCCCAGTCACCACACTGAATGGAGAATGGGTAACTCTAATTAACCCTGCAACTCTTCCACAGACGTGGGTTTTAATGGCACATCTGTTATTGTATGTGTGCTATTACTGGTGCTTTGTGGCAGAAAGAATCTAGTATTTTTTTGTTAAGAGGCAACGGTGCTGGAGAGAAAACTGTTTTAAATGTGCTGTGGTTGGAGGAGTCTGTTGAAAATTTAGGTGCAGAGTCAGTGGTGATGGTTAATCTTGATTGTCAACTTGATCAGATTAAGAAACTGGCTAGGCAATTAGTGAACACTTTTCCAGGTGTGTCTATGGGCAATGAATCAGTGAATTAATCTAATTTTATCAGTGAAACTAACCCAATGATGAGATCATAATTTGATGGAATTACTGGGAGGTGATGAAAAGAGGTGGTGGGGCCTGGTTTGCAGAAGTGGATCATGAAGGGCACGATGTTGGCACTATAGGTCCCCAGCCCCTCCTCTGTGGCTCTTCCCCAAATTTCTGTTTCCCTGTGAGCAGCTATCCTCTGCCACACCCTTTGCCATTATGTTTCTGCCCAAGGCCCAGCACACCAAAACTAAAACCTCTGAAACTGTGGGCCAAAACAAACTTTTCCTTCTTTAAATTGTTCATGCCAGGGATTTTTTCCAAGTGGCAGAATGCTAACTAACACAAGAAAAAATGGATTATAGGTCTGGAGCTTGGGGGAGAAGTTTGAGATTCAGATTAAAGATGTGAGAGGCAGGTGAGTGAGAGGATGGGATCATCCAGAATGAGGAAAGTTGGCCTTATGCAGAACTCAAGAATCTCAAATGTTAAGGGATTCACAGAAAGGAGACATCAGCAAGAACAAGAAGCAGTGGCCCAGGGGTAGCAGACAAGAACAAGTATTTCCACAAAAAGAGAGTAAGTGCAAAACTCATTTCGTGAGTGCAAAATGCTACCAAGAGGCCAAGAAAGAACAACACTGAAACACCAACATTACTCTGAGCTATAAGAAGGGTGCTGGTGACATCAGCAAGAAAATCCCAGTAAGGAATTCTAGATGGGTAGAGAAACTTGATTGTCACAGCACTGTATATATATTGGGAAGAAAGGAAAAGACAAGGCAGTGGAATTGGGACAGCAGAGTCTAGAAATGTGGCAGGGAAAGAGTAGCCAGATGGAGCTGTAGTAGATGAGGTCAAGGGAAAGGAATTTCAAGATGGGAGAGCAGTGGGCATGTTTCATTGCTTCAGCAGACACCAATTAGCTGGGTGGGTCTAAAGACATGGTAGTGAAGAGCTCTCTAGAGAATGGATTCAAAGGTCAGGTCTAGGGCCCACTCTTCTTTAGAAATCAGGTAGAAGAAGGGCCAGGGATTTAGCTCAGTGGCACCATGCCTGCCTTGAAAGCACAAGGTCCTGAGTTCAATTCTCAGTACTGCAAAAAAAAAAAAAAAAAAAAAAAAAAAAAAAAAAAAAAAAGAAAAAAGAAAGAAATCAGACAGAAGAACACAAAGATTACACTTTGGTAGTATGTGTGGGAAGCTGATGGAGTTTCCTCCTGAGTGCCAAAACCATCAAAATGACTCGCGACTCAAGTAAAACTAAAGGAAAAGGTCACCTTACCCCAATAAAGTCAGAAGAAATAACCAGCTATATATTGACAACCAGACTGCTACCAAAAATAAACAGATACTTTAAATATCATATAATAAACACCTTGTCCTGCATTTTCATTGTTGAAGAAAGGAACTATGGGCTGGGCAGGTGGCACAACACGTAATCCCAGCATTCGGGAGGCTGAGGCATGAGAATCGCTGTGAGTTGGAGACCAGCCTGGGCTACATAGTAAGTTTCAGGTCAGTCTCAACTACATAATGAGACCCTTTCTCAAAAAAAAAGAAACTATGGTACCACCATTCTGGAGAAAAGTTCAGTAGTTTCTTCAAAAACTACGCACATATCTAACTATGACCCACCAACTGCACTCTTGGGAATTTATTCCAGAGAAATGAAAACTTGTTTATGTAAAAGTAAATTACTGCATACATGAATGTTCATGACAATTTTATTCATAAGTGTACCAAACTAGAAAAAATCCAGATGTCTTTCAATAGATCAACTGTGGTATAGCCCTACCATAGATTAATAATAAAAAGGTATAAAAGTGGTATTTAAAATATCTCGATGAATCTTTATAGAGAATTATACAAAGTAAAAAAAAAAAAAATCCATCTCCAAAAGGTTACAAACTGTGTAATTCCATTTATATAACATTCTTCGACTGACAAGAACAAGAAAGGCAAAACAGATTAATGATAGCCAAGGGCACAGGGAAGGTGTGGCCATCAAGGGGTAGCACTGAAGAAGTCTCATGACAATGGAGTCCTGCTTCTCGGTTACAGTGCTGACTACAGGAGGCTATGCATGTAATAAGTTGTAAAGAACTACCCACTACAAAGGAGTACACAGGGCCTCTCTGTATATTTTTGGTTACTTCTTGTAAATCTATAATTATTTCAAAATAAAAAGTGGGGAAAAAAAGTCCAAATCTAAATTGGTATATATGCCTCTAGGTATTTTCCCCCCTCTTTATCAACAATTTAAAATGTATACATCCCCACAACTGAAAAGAATTTATATGAGGACTAAAATAGATTGCAATGCTCTACTTTCCTGTAAATTATCAAAGTATAATATAGCCCTGCACATCCCAAACTATTTCCATCAGCCAGATGTTAGTTGAAGCATTCCCAAACAATACACCACAGGATACAGTGGCAAAACAAGACAATTCCCAGATCACCACATAAAGATATTTCCTTGCTCTCCTATAATTACCATTATAGAATGAATTTTTATATAACTATAGGATAATAAAATACCAAATGTCTAGTATGCAACTTTACTCTTGTCCCTATGCTAAACATTGTCCATCTTTTAAGAGTTATGAGAAATTTGTAAAATATACCTTGGGTATAGGAAAGTCAATTAGCTGAGAAGGTACCAGCTCAAAACTTTAACTGAGGTTTGTGAATAGTTACTCATGAACCATTCTTACTGCATAAAGTAGATCACGAAGACCACCCACCTGTAAAGCTACATGACAATAATAAAATCTTATTCGTAGCATATAGACTGTTTTTGTCTATCGATGGTAAGAAAAAAGGGCAGCAGAATCAAGTCATGACAAGTCCTGTACCAAATGTGTTAACAGGAGTGATTCTTACTGACCTGTCTCAGCAGTATTAGAGGCAGGTCCTGCCTGGCCTTCCTAAGAAATGAAGGGGTACAGTATTAAGTATGGACACTAACTCGTTCCTATCTCCAGTTTCAAAGGCCAAGCTTTACTCAGTATGAAATTTTCTCCCTCCACTCCTGAGGCCATTAACCTTCTTTTATAATCACCCACAGTACAATTTAGTCTCTAGTACAAAATGTATTGAGTATTAAGCATTAATATTATGTATATGAACATTAAGGATGGAGTAACAAGATAAATGTACAAGAAACAGTAAGAAAACAAAATGTTTTACACCACACGATTGAACATTCATTTTGTGTAAGTTAAGAAAATCTCTGCAAGAAGCTGAAGAAGCATTAATAGAAATGTAGAACTCAAATAAAGGCTTGAGAGATGCAAAGACTCTGGACAGGAAAAGAATATGAGGTGTGGGGGGCAGAATGATAAAGGTAACAACTGCATGGTAAATCCAAAGGGATCACAAGACGACCGAACTATCCAGGTTTGATGAGGAAAATGGTGACACAGTCAGGTGTGGCTCTGTGATGTTCACACAGGGAGCATGGGCTTCTAGACAAAGGCAATAGGGAACACCCACATGTTTCAGGAGGTTAAAAGACAGGAGGAGCAGAAGACTGGGTGGGGCCTGAAAGAATTCTACTGTTCAAGAGTGGGAGGGAAACAAGCAACCAGCACAGGAAAAGCGAGTCAGAAAGTACTCTAAAAAGAGCCAGGTGTGGTGGCACATGCCTTTCATCTTAGCACCTGTGAGGCTGAGGCTAGAGGCGATGGCAAGTATGAAACCCACCTGGGCAATTCAGCCAGCTCCCATATCGAAATAAAAAATAAAAAGAATGGGGCTGTAGCTCAGCGCAATAACCTTGGGTCAAATCCCCAGCATTGTAAAAATAAAACTTAGGAAATCCTAAAGAGAAAGTAAACATACTCCAAACAAGCAGTGATAACTGGGAATATGTGGGGGGAGTGGCTTAGTGTATTTTAATTTTATTTGTTGTAGTCAGGGTTTGCAAGGGAATAGATTTAATACAGGACACATAATTTATAAGATTATTTTATAATATTCACCCAAAAAGTCAAATGCAGAGGAGAACAAGAGATCGGTCCACACGGTAGACTTGAAGAATCTAGCTGAGGGCCTGGATCCTACAGCAATGTCCTGCACAAGTCCAGCTGAAGGCCTGGAACCCAAGGCAATGTCTCATGCAAGTCCATATCCTGGATCTGCACTGGGAAGGCCCAAAGACCAGTGGTGGAAGCTGGAAAGCTTGCACCAGTGGGGTGAAGGACCTGTGCCACCAGGCTGAGAGATCTGCACTTAGGCAAGTGTAGGCAAAAACCCTGCCTTCTACTCTGTACTTGTCCCCAGTCACTATGAAACAGCTGATTAATTTCATCTTATGATTGTGTGCATTTGTGTAGGTTTTCCATGTAAGATCAGGTTTTTGAAGTTACAATTTCCTTTTCGTATTTCCTTTTTTGCTATTAAGTCACATATTAAAAATATATTTGCTAGGATTAACCCATTTGGAAAGTTTCAGTGACTAAAACATAGTCTTAACCATGGTCCTGGTGATTTCAACATTCAGATATTAGATTAATATCCTGAGTCTCCATTTCAGTTTCATTAACTTTTCTGAAACTTCAAATCTTCCTTAAAACTAAGCCATATTGAATACTAATTCTTTATCATTTATCTTTAACAATCTACATCTAATTTTTTTTCAGTACTAGGGATTGAACCCAGAGCCTTAACACTGAGCTACACTCCCACCCCTTTTTACTTTTTTTGAGACACAGTCTCAGGTAACCCAGGCTGGGCTCACACTGGCAATTCTCCTGCCTCAGCCTCCCAGGGTGTGCCATCATGAGGCTGAAACAGGAGGACCACAGAGTTTGAGACCTGTCTGACTTACATAGTAAGACCCTATCTAAAAAAAATTATTAACGTTTGCCATTAATTATAAGGCATACAAATTCATACAAAATGAATTTATGGATTAGAACTATTAAAAACCTTATAGTTAAAAGTTTCAAATTTTTTAAATTGCCAATCTGAAGAAACAGGCTAGGCCTCCACAGCCTTAAACAATTTATTTACACTTACAAATATTTAATGATCTAATTGCTGACATTATGGATCTTTCTCAAAGTAAAAAGAGAACATTCCATTTAGTATACATCAGCTTTCCCATTTAAGAAATGAAAAGGCATCAATACAATAAATTTCTTCTGAGTGATTTGTTTCTTGGTACTTATAGAGTAACATTATTTATATTCTAATAAACAAATCACTGGTGAATTCTATAACAAACTGCTTGCCTGAGCAATGAATGTAGGCCTCAGGACTTGCAAATGGTACTAAGAGACAGTGTGGAGTTTGTTACAGAGACAGAATTACACATATTCATTTAGGTCACTGCAACAACTAATTAGCAAGAAATTAGGTTGCCAAATGTCAATTTTCCCCTTAAAACAAAAATAACCCTCTCAAAAAATAAAAGTCACAAAATAAGAGCACAGGGGCAAAGTATATGGATAGAATAAACTGGAAGAATGATTGCATAAATTTAGGATTCCAATAATTCCTTACACTGATTTCTCAACTGCATTATTTCTTCTGCAGCTCTGAAAGGGTGTACAGCAGTTAGGGGACCCTTAAGTTTTGGACAAGCCTTTGACAAAATTCAGGCCATATGTGAATGACAAATATCGCTTCATAAATCCAATAGTTAGAAAAGTTATGTTCTTTTATCTCTAACCTCCTTCAGCATGCATGTGCAGGCTCCCCGCTGCACCTCCTCAGCACAGAGTCCATCCCCTTCTATAACAGCAAACCCCACACAGCCTCAGAGATTTGAAAGACATCTTAAGAGTGGAAAAAAACCTCAGCAATAATCCAATTCAACCTAAAATTCCAACATAAGAATTACCCAAGTACACAGTGCCTGGTTAAGTTTTAAAACAGGCTTCTTTTCTCTTTTAAGACTTTTGACAATCTAAGATTTATAGATCTATAATATAACAAAACACATAAATGTACACTTTGAGTACAATGTCACAGGGTTGTAAGTTCCTTGTTAAAATACTGTATCTTCTGATTTAAAGGTTTCCCCATTAGTTGCTTCCTTGAAGCTCTGCAATTTTGTTTAGTTTTTAAAAATAAATCATCCAAAATAAGACACATTAAAGGTGGAATTTGAGTTAAAGCAAAAGATCTTTTCTATTGTCCAAGCTGGATGATACTTTTTATTGACTTTATCTCTAACTTCCTTGGGACTTTATGGGTAACGGCTGTAATATGTTGCTATCGTGAGGAGATAAGACATTATTAAAACAAGATAAAGCAGGAACAGAGACAAAGGAACCAAAATGAAAAGCAATAATGAAAACATTTTAAAGCTTCATGTTCAAGCTTTCTTGTAACATAAGTTTCCCATAAACAAATAAGTAAATTTCATGAAGAAACATTGGTTTTTATTATTTCTCATGTCTCCTCATGAATGATGGGGACCAAAAAGGAACTGTTTGACTTTTTCAAGGCAAGTTAACCTTCTCTGCATTCAAGTTAAAAAGTCTACCAGCAAAACTTCTGGTTATGTTCTAGTGTGAAGATATATAACTATAGGATCCTAAACTGTAATAAGGTAATGAGAAATTTTACTTTAGCTTTGCCACTTCTGATTAGAATGGAAAGATAAAAGCAGATGAAAGTAGGAGATATACAAGGCAGCAGACCAATACAGACAATTTATTTTCAACAGGAACAATGCTCCAGTTGAACAGTAATTCTTTTCTAAAGAGTTTTATTATTCATATAAGAAACATTCATGCTTTACTGTAGAGAGGCAAAGCTGATGTTTTTAATACCACGTAAGAGCTGATAAGAGAAACAACAGGAACACATCAAGGTTGAAGGAACAGGTGGTGCAAAGGCACAGCGGCAGAAGGGAACCCACAAATCCTGGTAAGAGCCTACAGGTGACCAACGTGGACTACTCAGCGGGCATCTGGAAAGGCAGGGCCAGACCCCTTGACTTCCCCCATCACATTATCCCTCGTCTCCAAGTGATTTCCCAATCATCCCTAGACATGATCGTTTGGGTGGCTAAAAGGAATACCAGTTTTGTAACTGCTATTTTTCTGCATTAACAAAAGCAGGCCACCTTGGGCCAGGGATTTAGCTCAGTGGTGCCGCCACCTGCCTCACAAGCGCAAGGTCCCAAGTTCGATACCCGACACCAAAAAAAAAAAAAAAAAAAAAAAAAA